GTTGTGGAGCAGAGATTTCGAGCACTCTAAACCCTCAACCTGAACGAAGCTCTATCCTAAGCCCTAAGCCTCACGGCCAAGCCATACCTTCAAACTAAGCCAGACCGACATTGGGGTCGGAAGAATCAGCAATTGAATCCCCGTATTGTTCCTACTATAAGCATAGTATTAGTGTACCCCAAACCACAATCTAATTATACATGCCCGTATATTAACACCATCCTAAACCTATCAACAAGCAGCTCGAACGTGTAACCACACTCAGCCCTACCCATAGGCCCCATAGTAGTTCCTTTTTGGGGTAACCTTATAGGAATCTATATATGAACCCCAAAAAGGAACTACTTTAGGGCCTATGGGTAGACCCTAAAACCCGATCCCAGCCAAGGCTGGCGAGGGGCGACTTCCAACAGCTCCTCCGCGGCACGCCCCTGCCCTTGTTGCCCGAGGGCCTCGCCACACTCCACGAGGAGGCCAGATCTGTAATAGGGTTTAGGGCCGTTTAGTGAGGGGCGTAGGATTTGGGGTTTAGGAGTTTCGGAGTTTAGGGTCGCAGGATTGAGGAGTATAGAGTTTGGGGTTATAGGATGTTATCGGGTTTGTTTCGTGACCAGTGCTGCAGGAAACCGGACCGTCTACCTAGCTGGGTATGTAAGTAGCTTTGGTTTTCGGGGTAAGAGTACACCCGACCATACCTACGAGGTCAATCTTGTACAATGTCGGTACACTACGATCGAGTGGATGGTGAGCAGCACATGCGGTGAAGTATATGTATCAAGCCACATAGCCCCTGTCCAACTAGCAACAGATGAACCACACCTGGCGACATCTTTTCTTTAGCAACAGCTATATTAACTTCCCGGAAAACCAAGCAAAAGGAGCTACCCATAGGCCCCATAGTAGTTCCTGTTTGTGGCTTATAGTTAGGATTCCATTAGGGAATCCCAACAAGGAACTACTATGGGGCCTAAGGGTAGACCTCCGACCAATGCAGGCAAAATTGACCTTCGATTTTTGTGCTAGTCGTTGCTGGATGTGTCCTTGGAACCAGACCTCAGTCGAGAAGTCGTTCTCATTCAGCGTGCACATGGGTAGTTCTCTAAATTAGGATCCTTTTTTAGGTCCCCAACATATAATAGTACAGCACCCTTATAAAGAGGACCCTAAAAAGGGAACCGAATTTAGAAGCCTGCACACATGAACCTGCACTATATGTTGACGATCGTAAAGCCCCTAAGGCACCGTGAACCATGAACCCCTGAACCTCAAAACCCTAAAGGCTATATAATATAGTGAACCCCAACAAGTTGGAAACCGGATTAACGACAAATAGTGCTGGGATTCCCTATACATTACTCTTAAGGATTGAGGCTATTGGGTTTCCAATTTTTGGGCTTCTACAGTAAGCCCCAAAGCCTCGAAGCCCTAAAGCTCGAAAGCCACAGGAGCAAAGCCAACGGCTGGACAGCCTGAAGAGATCGTACGTCGAACCCAGGCCAGGTGCCCAAATTTCCACGAGCTGGCAATAGTACCGGGTCTAGGGCTTTGGGTTTAGGGTTTAGGGGTTTATAGGGGTTTAGGGTTTAGGGGTTTAGGGGTTTAGGTTTTGAGGAGCATCTTCTAGCAGTGCCAAGCTCACAAGTAAGGTAGGGCCATTCTGCGCAAGCAACGGTGATTGCGTTCGTCAAGCATTCCTCCGTTGTTGCAGAGTTCCGTGTTGACTCCGAGCCCTGTAATGCCCAGCCATAAAGACTGAGATTTTCCTGCACCAGCACCTGGTTCTCTCGCTGGATTTGTTTTCAGGGTCCTAAACACTGCGACTTAAAGCCTCATGGCACCCGTAGGTGCTACGCGCAGTTTCAAGGGAGCGGATGAGTGATTGTGTCTTTGGCAATAGTGATTGGTATCGAGACGACCGGGAGGAACATGAGTAAGAGTTTCTCTTTGAGGTGTGGCAGGGATGCGATATTGCCTCGAGGATTGAAGTGCTAGTTGCTCATCAGGTGTCTCTGAATTCGTCAGGTTCGCTTTGCCCTTTTCCTTTGCAGGTATCCTAAACCTACATATGTAGCGTGTGGGATTTAGCAGCAACTCGAACCCAAAACCCTGCTTACAGTAAGGTCCAGGATTTTTCAAGACCCAAACCCTAACCACTGACAGATCCACCACCCTTTTCACACCCTCCGGACTACCGTGGCCCCGAGATGCGTTAAACCATAGCCACCCGAAGATCCTAAAACCGTGACGCCCTACTCCCTGATCTAATTTTCTATATCCATCATACAGGAAAATGTATGATAACATGTGATAGTAAACGGCGATCATCTACTATAGCACGCGGTAATGATATACGACCATATACTGTAATGGATCTTTCCCCGGCCCAACCAGGGAACGCCGCCGCCTGGCAGCCCGCAGGCTGCATCAGTGGTTCGCCACCAGAGCGAGGTGCAATTCGCACGGTTTTTGAGGGCTTGGCGGAAGTGGATGGTTTGCATAATATACTTTAAGGGGTTGTGAGTTTATATAGAGTTGTAGAGGGCTTTAGCGAATTACAAGCTGGGATGGCAGTTGGTTTTGCTTGTCCGCACAGCGGCATGCACAGATCGACATTCAGTGTCTCAACGGGAACTAGGGCGGCGCTGCACTCACTCTAGAGGTGCTATGATTCCGCAAAATGGCGTGCCCATTGGGGTTCCGGATTCGTGTAGGAACCTTTAATTGCTCCTTTACTAAGGGTTCCTGCAAGAGTTCCTTTCTGGGAAGGAGCCGGAGTCGAGTCTCCCCTACTTGTCCAGCGTGGAAGTTCAGAGGCTGCGGAGTTGTGAGAGTGGAGTTATTATTATTACCATTGTTATTCTTGTTATTGTTCTTATAAGATTGTTACTTATTACTGTTTTTCTTATTCGCATTAGTAGATGCGAAATTGTTGATGGTATGTTTACCGAAGCCTGTATAGCACTATTATGGGGACCTCATCGACCAGTAGGTTATGGGCATTTTAAGGAAGTCAGTATAGAAACAAGAAGCCGCAGAGCCTTCAAAAAAACTCACAAACTATAAACTCCTTCAACTGCGGCCGCAGTGTTTGTAAAACCCTGAAAACAAGACTGCCTGGTATCGATTGTGGGTCATCTGAACCTCTGGGCGACAGCTCTTCGCTTGCAGGTCCAAGCGAGAGCAGCTGGATGCCCGGCCGCAAGCCAGTGCGGAAGAGACCCAGCTAACATTGAAACACAAACAAGCGACAATGGCGGTGACAAGAACAATAATTATAAATATAAAAGAGCAGCAACAGCAACAGCGACCCAACGTGCAGGCAACCAAAGCCATCCAACAGCCAACAACAGCAAGAACAGCCGCAACGGCAGCAGCAATAGCAGCGGTACAAGCAACTGGAAAGGCAAATGGATAGCAAAGCAGGAAAGCGGAAGCAACAGCAACAACGACAACACCAACAGCAAGCAATAACCAGCAAGAGCAACAACCAATAGCATTAACAGCAGCAATAGCAACCTGCAACAGCAACAGCAACAACAGTAACAGCAACAGCTACAACAACAGCAGCAACAGCAACAACGACAACAGCAACAACAGCCAGCAGCAGCAATAACCAAGAACAACGACAACAACAACAACAGCAACAACAACAGCAACAGCAACAGCAGCAGCAACAGCGACCCCAACGGCACCAGCAGCAACAGCAGCCGCAACCACAGTAACAGCAACAGCAGCAGCAGCAGCAGCAGCAGCAGCAGCAGCAGCAGCAGCAGCAGCCGCAGCAGCAGCAGCAGCAGCAGCAGCAGCAGCAGCAGCAGCAGAGCAGCAGCATCAGCAGCAGCAGCAGCAGCAGCGGCAGCAGCAGCGGCAGCGGCAGCGGCAGCGGCAGCGGCATTGGCAACGGCAACAGCAACCTCATCAACTGCAATAACAAGCGCAAATAACACTAGCAGAAGCAAACAAGCAAAAGCAACAACGACAACACCAATCCATAACAACCAACGACATGCATCAACAATCAATAGCAACAACCCGGAACAATATCAACAATAGCAATGGCAGCAGCAACAACAGCAGCAACAGCCCACAGCAACAGACAACAGTAACATCGTACGTAGGATGCACGCGAACCTATGCATGTATGAGTGCATTCTGGTATGTATGTCTTTCTGTATGTATGTTTGTGTGTCTTTCAGCCTGTCAGTTGCCCGTACGGACACGCAGGTAGGTCGGTCGGTCGGTAAGCAGGCAGGGGTAGGTCTGTGTAAGTGTGTATTTAGTATGTATGTTGTATGGTTGCATATGTGTCTGCGTTTGTATCTGTATGTGTACGTCTACGTGTACGAGTACACATACATATGTCCACGTGCACCTGTATATGTACATGTCTGCATGTCTGTTTTATGTCTATGTGTTTGTGCCTGCATATGCGAATGTATAATTATGTGAACGGGTGTGTATTTTTTCTAGATCTGTATGTGTACATATCTATATACACATAAGACCTTCGCCACGTCTTCCTTGCTGCACACGTCCTGCAATCAGAGGAGTCACTGGATACCGAACTGAACCCAGTCAAACGTTCCCACAAGCTTCGAAGAAGGCATGGGCAGGCTTGAAGCAGGCAGAAGTTCGGCATCAGTCTCCTCGGTTTATCTGAGAATCTGAAGCCCGGATCCTTACACGGAAGTGGTGAAATCAAGTCCTGAGGCCGACAATGTGACGCTGAGCGTGTCTTCTGCCACTGACCCCGACCTGCTTGCGGCGCTAGCAGCATTGGAGAGTCTGGAGAAAATGAAGTGCTGCCGTTGTTTTCATCTGCGCGCCGTTGATGTTGTTAGCCTTTTGGACACTTACATAAATTACCTAAAGTATATATCATCCGAAACGCGTAGGGTTGCCGAAGCTGCATCGTGGCCTTGTGGCTCCGCATAGAGCCGCCTTGACCCTTTAAAGGAACCCTCTTCTACTTATTACGGCCCCTATATTACCTCGCCGAGGCTCCAGATGAAGCAGCTTTGTGCCGTTCTCACCGGCATGCAGGCCCTTTTCGGAGAAGTGGGGTGCAGCTGGGAGAGCTGGTCCTGATCAGTGTAGACATAGAGCCTGGGCGCCCTCAGCCCCAATCCCTTAATGGTACTACAAGTAGGAGTATCATCATAGGGTTTAGGGTTTAGGGTAATAGGAATCATAATCATAATAGCAGGAAGTGGTTGTACGAGTAATCAGTAGGGGTAGCACTATCAATCTCTGACGGAGATGAAGACCCAGAATAGTCGGACCACGAAGATGCCAATATGAGGACCCCCCCAGCCACAACCCCCACAGAATCCTTGTAATGCCTCCCGAAGAAAACTCGTACGATCCTTGCAGACTTTAAATCTAATAATCCCCGGTACCATCCTCACAAAAATGCTGTAGTGCCCTTTTGATTTCCCTTTGACGCCCTGAAAGCACCTCAACGACAAGACCCTTAATTTAACGGAATCCACGGCAAGGTCTCGCACAACTACGAGCAGGGCCAGCAGCTGTTGCAGAATCGAGACTTCAGCACCAAGTGGGTCTCTGAGAATGAGGGGCAATATAGGTGACGGAATAGTTAGTGACATTATTCCCTTCTTGGTTATATAGATAACCTATATCAGAATATGCCCGGAACCCCTATACTAATTATTGATGTAGGTAGGTCTCCTGTGTTCTGGCCCACAGAATTTGTGCGAGTCAGTGCAGAACCTGCTCAAAAGGATCCTCTCAACCTCAAATTCTGTGGGGCATGCGTAAACTGATGACTCCCAAAACTACAAACTCTACTTGTTACGCCCAAAACCACAAGCCCCAACCACAACCCTAAACTCGAACGCATGCAGCTCTAAACCCTGCTTGGTTGCCTTCCAGGTCTGCCTTCTTCCAGACCGTGCTGGAAATAGGATCGGATGGCCATTGCGATTGCTCTACTTGGTGGTGCGCAATCAGTTACAGTACGCATGTAGCAGATGACCCTATGGGGTTGTATAAGTATATGCAGCGATATAGAAGTAATTTTATGTTTCTTGCCAAGTGGTTCAGGACGGCGGTACAAGATCTTGAACCCAGAGCGCATGCGCGACTCGTATGGGAAGCTGATGTATTTCCTCCAGGACGCGCCCGGAGAAATGAGAACCCATTGTTGTGTCTGCTGCGATTGCTATGTTCGCATCATGCTTATATAATTAATTATCAGTGATAATTACTCTGGTACTTACCGTTGCCATGAGCTGCTTTAATTGATGTATTATTGTCTTGTTCTCAGTGCCAGTGTTATCATTCTGTGTTGCTACACAAGCAAAGCCATCATTTGCTGACTGTATGTTTTGCTACTAATCAGTATTAATCAATATTTCCCAGTCGCATTGTTGTTATTATCATCTCTTCATTGCTGCCACTAACAATGGTACTAGCCTGTATATGGCTTATGACGATGATTACCAGTAGCCCACACCCTCAACCCTAAACCCTAAACCCTAAACCCTAAACCCTAAACCCTAAACCCTAAACCCTAAACCCAACCCTTGCAGCATCGTTTTACATAATTTTTCGACCCTCCTGCGTGAGGACTCCCGAAAGCCCGAAGTTCGCGACCTTTTGGAGCCCGGCCCTCAGCGGAACGAAGACGGCGATCCCGCTTTTGAGCTTTGGGGTTTGGGGCTTACTGGTCTAGTGCTTGGGGTATAGGGCTTAGGGTAGCAAGATTGAGGAAGGGCGGGAAGAGGAGTAGCAGAAAGGGGTGATATCGCAGCCTCGAGTTTTAGGAAATTTCCAGCCTACCGGCTTTACCCCCTCTGCTTCCAGAGTTTCAAAGCTCAACCAGATACCGTACCCCAGGCCCTAGGCCCTAAGCCCAACGTAGTAGGATCCTTCATGCGAGTCGACGCAAGATCCACAGTTCCTAGCCATATTGTATAGCATTCCCCTAAGCTCTAAACCCAAAACCATAATCAGCCGTCCTGTTTGGCGTAGTGGAGAGGTTCGACGTCGTGTGCCCCGTGCGATCTGTGCCGGCCCAATCTCTCGAACACTTCTTTGGGTTTGCAGTTTCGGTCTTTAGGCTTTGAGGTCTGGGGCTGGGGGTTTTTGGGTACAGGGTGTTTACCACAGTAGTGTTTTTTTGGGGTGTTTGGCTTTTTGGGCGTCAGCGCACGTGTACCTCTGCAGCAACGTAGCATGCTTGAAGTTTTCCTTATGCAAACCATGCAGCCATTCACTTGGCACGTGCTCATTAATGCACATTTCCATATTACAGCGACTGTTACAGGTAATGTGCAGCAATGAAGAACTGCCCTTTGAACTGTAGAAAGCTTCCATTGCAATTACGAAACGAAGTAGCAGGAATCTCGAAGCTCAAGAGCATAAGCTCGGGCAGTGAAACACCGCCATTAGCCAGCATAGGAACCCAAAGACTCCAATATCCCTTAACTAAGGAATATACATTAAATCATATGAGGGATCCTACTATAATTTAAGCTATATTCCCTATTTAAGGGATATTGGAGTCTCTGGGAAGTGGCCCTTCCGCCCCCCCCCAAGGTGTGGCACGTCCTCAGCCGATCTCCTAAGGGCACGCAGCTGCTTCAGGAGCCACTCCAAGCATGCCTCGGATCTTGGGTCACTTGGAGGTTCATGGGTAGTTATAAGTGGAGTTATAAGTCCCCTAAAATAGGCTATAACTACAGTTACCCTACTTATAACCCTACTTCTAACTACCCATGAACCTCCAAGCACAGTTGATGATGAGATGGAAGCATCGTTAGAGAACGCCCCGTCATGACCTTGCTGCTGATCGGGATTGCTGCTACCTGTAAGATGCTTCGCGCTAGCTAGTGTTGCAGTGGCTCTATTGCCACCGTGAGTATCGCGGTCATTGCCGTTACAGGATCCACAGCTCAAGACTGCCACGATGGAGATCTCCAGTGAGGATCGGGTCCTGGTTCTACGGCTATTGTAGGACGAGTGAGCGATGAGTGTGGTAAAGGCTGCTTCGATGGAAACACCAAGGGATCGCGAATGTGAAGTCCTTGTCGTTCACCATCCGGTTCACTCGAGGGCATGCTGCGCTTGTCGGCATCTGCTTCGCGCTTATGCAACTTGCTTCTGGGGTGTACAATCGCATTATATGGGCTTTATGTATCTAGGGAGAGGAAACTTTGCGGTTGACTGCAAGGACGGAGGGGATGAAAGACTGCAGAGAGCGAGACAGCAGTGTCAGCTCAGTGCAACAAAACCCCCCTGCGTCGAACACAAGAAAGCTGTGCTTCTCGCATTCGTCGTTTGGGAGGTGGGAGATTTCCGTTTCAGACGTAAGAGACTATTTACATAGGTATCGGCTGCCGTTCCGAACTCCTTCTCGAACACAGGGCATCCCGGTTCATACAGTGTTACACTGCAGTCTTACTAGCACCCAACTCAAATCTTGCACGCCTGCATCACAATGGACTCCCTATTTGCCCTATGCTTTCGGATTGTTGGTGTTGCGCAGACTGCCCACTGCCATATTGCGAGCACAATACTTGGAGGTTCATGGGTAGTTATAAGTAAGGTTATAAGCAGGGCAACTACTATAGTTATAACTTATAACCTATATTAGGGGACTGTTAACTCCACTTATAACCCATGAACCTCCAAGTACTGTCTTCAACATCACTCTACGTATTCGGCTACGTGTGTAGAAGAGCAGTGTTCCAAGCCTTCCGTGGCAGGGCAAAAGCCGGGGGCTCGACGATTCCGCTGGTTCTGCCCCTTTAAGGGTACTGGGTTCTATAGTAAGTTTTGTTTTAGGGGGAACCGCTTTTCTTGTGAGCATTCAAGGTCTTCAGTCTGTGGAGCCATCCCAATATGAGTTTTCTGAGAAGCTTCCTGGGTATTCACATCCAGCAGTGGTCAGGGTTTCGGGCCTTCAGTTCAAATCTTCTCCGTGAATCTCAAGCAGAATGGAAACCCGATTCTCTCAACAAGCCACGAGAGCCTACCCCCTAAGCATGTGACCCCCTTGCCCTCTGCTCTTTGCTCCTACCCAGCCTCGTACCAGTGGTTCGAGGTTCCAAGCCATTTGTTTTCAGGATGTTCTTCGGGTCCAAGTTGTAGGTAAGATGTACCGTTCTCGACATGAAGTTACCAGCGCCCGTAGCCGCTGCACCGGTAGCCACACAAAGGAAGCTGCCATCGCAGCAGGTGTCTCTTCCAAGCTACAGATCCACAGTCACCCTTGCTTAACCAACCGCACCCGCAACCCTTTAAAGAGAAAATTAAGATATTCACCTAAAGCAAGCCAAACTCTCATCCCCGAAGCCCAAATCTAAACCCCTGAAGCCTAAGCCCGCAACCGCTAAACCCTGGAAAAACCCTAAAATAGGGGGCCTTATAATTAGAACAGGGTTTTGGGGGTTCCTTATTATAAATATAGTATAATATACCCCAAAAACCCAATTCTAGTTATTCAGGCTCTTATATTCGACTCTAAAACCCTCAAAGACCCTAAACCTTAGACTGATCAAGCACAATGCCAACAACATTCGCTGCCCAGCCCGTCCTCAAATCCAGCGCGAGATCAAAGCCAAAGAGGCCTTCGGGGGACGACTGCAGGACGTGGGTAGTAAGAGTTTTGCTCGGTCTTGGGACTGTGTGAGTGTCTCTTGTCTCGTACTTAAGGTTCCTTTTGCGGTTTAACTTTGTTGGATAAAGGCTTAGGTGCCCTATGTCCCCGCTTGGGTTTCAGGTTCACGTTTAGGCTTCTGGGCTATGGATGTCACGGTCTTCGTGCAGGGGGCGGACCAGTTCGTAGCAACAAGCGCAGTAGTTAGTAGTTATGCACAACTATGATAGTTTTTCAGCTGGGTAGCAATGATAGTGCGAGTGATCGTCTTTTACATTGTTCACAACAAGGGGGCAATGATAACAAGCAGAAAGCATAATAGCCATAGCAAACATCGTGATCAGAAGCCACAGAACTTACACTCAGCGCGGGTGATTACCAGACCGATTGACGAGCTGGACAGGCTCCCAGTCGGCTGTGCATGGTTTCTGCGATGGCATTCTTAGGGTAGTGTGGGCTTTGACAGTTGGTCCTGTGGTGTGAGACCAAAGAGCCTTCTACACCCCATGCAGGATATAAATCCAGGCACAGGAGCGTACCCTAGCTCAGGCTGCCATCAAGAGCCTTGCGAGCAAGTACTGCTCTGTGCAGAAGCGACGAAAACGACACTACGGTTGGTGCCTCAGACCCAGACCTAGAAGCCACAATTATTTCTGTTTGGACAAGTATTGATATGATTCCAATACGATAATTATTTGATCAGTTCTATTGTTATGACCAATACTTCTTCTACTACTACTACTACTGCTACTACTACTACCACCACTATATCAGTCGAAAGCTTCGGGGGTCCGGCTTTGGTTTCGGGCACCGAGTTTGTACGAGTGACGCCGGAGACGAGGTGGCATGAACTGGAGCTTGCTGCGCCGGGCGCTTGGTTGGGATTTGGGAGTCCATGCACGTTGCATCTACTGTCGTTGTGATTGCCAGTGAATCTACAAAATCCGCCCTTGTCGTGGAATATTCGAGCTTTTTAATTTTTAAAGCAGGACGCAAGAGCTTGCAGCTCAGCACAGCGCTGTTGGATGTCGCTCCACGCAAAAATATTTGGCACAGAGCGCTGACTTAGGATCCTGTGCACATCTTCGTAAATCGCACCGGCAAATCAAACGAATATGTGCGAGTTTATGTGGAGCTGCTCGTTGTCGTGTTCGTCGTTGTGATTGCAGTGGTGGTAGACGAAGTACTAAGTAGTAGTAGTAGTAGTAGTAGTAGTAGTAGTAGTTGTTGTTGTAGTAGTAGCAGTAGCAGTAGCAGTAGCAGTAGCAGTAGCAGTAGTAGTAGTAGTAGTAGTAGTAGTAGCAGTGGTGAAATGTACTAAATGCAGCCATCGTTCTCGTAGTCACGGCTTGACATCACCGTTGCAACCGCAGTCGTAGTCTGTTGGGTCTGTTCTGGGGATGGTTGGCGGCCCAGCAAATAAATTAGCCCGAGGCTGGCCCTAAGACTATTTGGGAGTTTCCGAAAATAAGGGGTGCCTTATTTTGGGGGCCTTATAATAAGGATCCTACTATTTAGGGTACTATATTAGGGTCCCCTTTTGTCGGAAACCCCCATCTGTTTCCTCTCAGCCAGTAGCGAGCTGTGTCGAGGCTCCTACAGAGATTCTGACTCAGAGGACGCAGATGCCACCGACGAGCTCTCTGAGGCTTGGAGCATGTTACTAGGGTTTAGGGTTTAGGGTTTAGGGTTTAAAAGATTGAGTTCAGAGTTTTGGCTTATGGCTTCTGGCTTTAGGGTCATGTCCGAGAGCAGTGAAAAAGTGACATAGTCGCGAAAACAGCTGCTGCAGGATGTGGTTGAGCAGTGCATCTACTCCATCGGAGACCACAGCACCTACCTGAGGTACGCCGGGTGTTGTTAGTCTTGTTGCACCAACTTTCCAAAAGTGCAGCTGCCATGGCATCGCAAGCAATGCATGCCCGAAAGCCCAGCGCCCGTTAATTCTGAAAGACATAGCGTCCTAAGCTACTGGTATAGACGGTATAGAGCCACTCTAGACTCTAGAGGATATTCTCTGAATACGCGAAAAACAATCGGATACAGGGAACACTAAAAACCAGGGTCAAATCCTTCTTCTTTGGGCTTGCATTGCACTCCCCATCCCAGAGGCTCCACCCCCCAAGCCCTAAACCCCCCACATTCCCAACATCGTTGGAACGAAAACAACATAGCATAGTCCTGCATTAATGGGCATTGGTCGCTCCATGTGTGCAACCTGACAGGTTCAACCGAGAGCCCTGCGCGAAGCTCATCCAATACCTCAAGGATCAGGGCCCTTAGCCTAAACCCTAACCCCTAAACCCTAAACCCTAAACCCTAAACCCTAAACCCTTGGTCTGTGGAAAAAGCTAGGGTGCGGGGACACGAGGCTCAGGTGGCCGTCGGGGCGCTACAAAGACGCTGTATATCTCAAGTATAAACCCTCAGGCCCAGAGCTCGATGTACCAGAGCACTTAACGTAGGGGCCTTAATAATTAGAATAGGGCTTTGGGGGTATAGTACTATAAGTATAATAAGGAACCCCCCAAAACCCTATTCTAATTATTACGGCCCCTACGTCAGTAGGGTTTCGTGGTTTAGGGTTTCGGACTAGCATGGATGATTGCTTAGAGTGCCAGTCAGATGTCCAAGTAGATATCGATTGGTCAGTACTGTACGGAAACTACCTTACTTTCGGGGGCGCGGGGTCTTGCGGTTCAGGATTTAGGGCTTCAGGGTTCGGAGTTCAGGGTCTAGAGTTTGCAGGACTTTGTGCAACAATGGCAGCTACTCTTGCAGATCAGGAGTTTTTCGACCCGGATGATCCAGGGCCAGACCCCAAGTGCCCCGGGAAGTATATGTTCTACATCGCGTTGCTTATGTATGCATGTCAAAAGTGTATGTAATGGGGATGGATGGATGGGTGGGTGGATGCATCGATGCATGGATGGATGGATGGATGGTTGGATGGACGGACGGACGGACGGATGGATGAGTGGGTGGATGGATGATGATGCATGGATGCGTGGATGCTTGAACGGATGGATGGATGGACGGATGGATGGATGGATGGATGCATGGATGCATGGATGCATGGATGCATGGGTGGATGGATGGATGGATGGATGGATGGATGCACGGATAGGGATGCGGAGATGCATGCATGGATGGATGCATGGATGCATGGATGGATGGACGTGCAAAAGCAATCGGGATGCTTAGGGAGATGACGCATGGGGCTGCCCCGAGAGGTATTCCTTGGCCATCGAAGAGGGTGTCAATGGGGCGCGCACCAAGCTCAGCACAATCTGAAAATCTGCTGTCCTGTGCCCTACACCCCAAATCCAATCGGCTGAGAACTGCTCTTAAATTGCTTGGGCATTCAGTGCCTCAGTCTCCGAGGCTTGTCCCATCCACATAGCCGTCAGTACACATTCGTGCTGCAGTCGATGGCGCTCTGGAGGGAGGCAGGGCCGTGGTACGGCAGCTCGTAGGAACTTTGTCCACGTGGCCGGTCATCTAGTCTCAGCTGCAGGTGTCGCAAATGCCACACACGATCGAAGTTACTTGCCAAGCTGTGATGTGACGAGATTTGATAAACCCTAAACCCTGAACCCCAAACCCTAAACCCTAAACCCACAGCTGGTGCACCGGTTCGCCTTCTCCTGTGCAGGTCCTGGACAACATGTTCCAACTTTGGCACATTGCCGAAGAGGCGCTCCACCAAACTCCTGACCAGAAACCTAGAAGAATAACCCTAAACCCTAACTCTGAACCGTCATTCCGAAAGCCTACTTGGAGGTTCATGGGTAGTTACAAGTGGAGTTGTAAGTCCCCTTGTAGAGGATATAACTATAGTTAGCCTACTTATCACCCAACTTATAACTAACCATGAACCTCCAAGTAGACCCTATATAAATCCCAAGCCCTGAAGCTCCTTAGTCTCTGTCCTTACCGTTGGATTTCGGCGGCCGCCTGGCCCTCATCCAGGAGTCTCGCCTGGGAGAATTCCTCCTACTATAGACTTTCAAGGGTCGGAAGGGATCCCCAATCTAAAACTCCCGAGTTACTCCTGAATTGGAATCCAAAAGCTCGGATTGAAGTAGGCACCCTGTATACTCAGAACGTCCGTGCAAGATGCTCAATGACAAGTAGGGTTCTAAGTAGGACAACTATAGCTATAACCTATATTAGGGGGGTTATAGCTCCACTTACTACCCATGAACCCTCCAAGCAGAGGACCTCCTTGACGATGAGCACCAGTACCAGCTGGCAGACACGGGGCAAGGCTACCAGCGAGTCTCTGCCTCGACTGCTAGGGAGTGTGTTGCCTATGTTTCCCCTTACTTCTAAGGCACTGGTACATGCGAGGGGCAGTAGTCATACTGAAAATGGGCTTCAGGGGTAAAAGATATGTGGACTCCATAGGGGAATGCTCTGTCAAGCGGTAGAGTTGGCAGACTGGGAGAGACTGGGTAAGCTGTCTGACGTCTCTGTGCCGTGTTATGTTTGAGAGATGGTCATCTCGGAACCGCAGCTAAACCCACGGAAAAATATGTATAATCATATGCAGTATGTGTGCGTACATATATATATATATACATGTATATATATATATATATGTGTGTGTGTATATATATATATGTATGTATGTATACACGTATAATATTCATATGTGATATGTAATAGCCCAGGTACAGAAGTCAATTCGGAGCGTCTTTGCCATGCCTGGGGTCTCAGCTGAGTCGGCTGCAGCAACGAGGGCACCAAAAGCTGGAACGCCAGAGTTGGGGACGGTTTGCGCGGTTCGGGGTTTTGGACCAGATCTTGCTTCCTAAAGAGAGCTTGACACTTACATTAAGAGTCCTAGCGTGACTGTGTGTAGTACGGCCGGCTCCTGTTGATTCTTCGACTTTTTGTATTATTCCCAGACTGTGCAGCATTGAAATTTGGAGACCCTTCACGATGCCCTCAGCTTCCCGGTGCTGCAGGGAGCATTGAGTCTCCTCTATGACTTGTTTGCTTTTTAGGGTTTAGGGTTTAGGGTTTAGGGTTTAGGGTTTGCTTGCATTTGAATGAGGCAGAAGATCCTCGCCGATGTCCAGCAAAAGGTTGGAGGCAGCAAGCACTTGTCGGCAAGATTTTCAATTTTCACACACACACACACACACACTCGGACTATGAGACGAGCCAGGTTGGGTGGGCTCCAGCATCGTGCATCTTGGTGACCACAATGTGCCCAATGCCCGACACCCGGAGAGTGAACGGCATAATTATCCTGCTCTCACGACTGTGATGCAACCATCGGCACCATACATTCAAGCGTTAAAGTCTCTGTTGAGCGATCTCTTGTGCGACAGCAGGCATATGATATGTCACTGTCTCTGTGCTCCCCTTGACACATTCACGGGTCATTGAGTCAGTCGTGGAGCATATGCAGCGGTTTGAGATCCCAGCCTCTGCAATCCAACGTGCTGAGTCCCTGATGTTCATTGACAAGTACATCCAGGCCAACCCTGTGTATGCTTGGTGACAGTACTTTATTCAGCTTGCGACGGGTGTTCTGTGTGGTGACTGGCTGCCGCGCAACGCAGGTACCGCGATTTCTGGGACCTCTTGCCGGAAGCCTAGCGTCAGCTTGTCACATCTTGCCGGTGAATCTGGAAGTGTGCAGTTATAGATCTGTGTACATGTATAGTTTGTTTAGATATCCCTTCGGGAGGTCCTGACCATCGAGAAGATTCCCGAGTTGAGCAAAAGCTCCCTGGGGATGAAGGTCCCCGGGGTAAGGGTTCGCCTGTGTGGGGCTTCATTCGACAGGGTTCCTATGCTACTATACAGTGGGATTCCTTCCCGGGTTCTTTAAGGGTTCTGTCGCAATATAAGGCGTTGGAAAGGCATGAAAATGTTCATGATGGTTGTAGACGGGTGGTTTTGCAAAAGGTGTAACCGGGTCTCGATAAGGGAGCCTCAGTATTGGTGTGGTCACAACCACCCCTGCAGTTTGCATACTCGAAACTTATGTTCGACTTTACTTCTGTTTCTGAGTTCTATATGGGATGTATAGGAACGTGTTAGTGATGTGTTGATGTTTGGGAGTTTGGGGCTGTCAGGTTTAGGATGTTGACAGACCGTGGTCGGGAAAGCGCTTGGAGGCTTACGGTAGTTTTTTGTTGGGGCTTGGAGTCATGGGGACTCTGCGACAAGTACCTTCTACGCAAACTTCGCTTTCAACTCGCGCTTGAACTCCACATGCTGTGCCGGAATTCCTGTAACCCAACCTCCACGAAGCGGTCCAAGTCCCGAGCTCAGAGTCCTGCAAAAGCCGGACACCCCAAAATCGACAAACCCGAACCTGGAAGTCTACTCTCCAACGAACCCTCTTTGCTACACTCTAAAACCTCATACCCTCAACCCCTAAACTCCCCCACACCCTTGTAGAACCCACATGAAACCCTGAAAATAAAGTTTTAAACTTCTGAACACCAAACCGCAAGACCCTGTATGTAGAGTCCCTAAGTCCTGGGACGCCTTCAGCCCTTCGTTCCCTCAGACCTACGTTGACTCTTTCGGGGGAGTCTTGAAGCTGCAGAAGCCGGGGCCTCGTTGAGTTTAGGGCCTTTAGGGCTTATGACTTAGTAGGCTTCAGGGCACAGGCTTTTTGAGGTAGAGGGTTCAGGGTTTATAGGGTTTAGGATTTCAAGCCTTAAGGTCTTCTGCGTTGGCCGTGAGGGTGTAGGATTTTCGGGGGCTTTGTTGAGATAGGATCTTGGTGCTTTGGGATATTATTGGTTGTAGGCTTTGGGTGTGGCTTTAGGCTTGGGGATTTTGGTGTTTCTGATTTCTGAGCCTGGTGTTTCTGATTTCTGAGCCTGGTGAGGTCTAGAGGTCGAATAGGAGGGCGAAGTAGTTGCTGATACCATTTCTTGGTGTCCCCAAACATAGTTACGCACACCAAAAACAAGCTCCCGAGCCCCATTCTACGTATTAAGGCCCGGACATTCGTGTTCAGGTTCGCGGTCCAAACCTAAGCCCCAAGAAAGGCCTCGGCTGTAGGCGCCCGCAAGCAACACGCCAGTATAGTATGGATTTAGGGTTTATAGGGTTTAGGATTTAGGGTTTAGGGTTTAGGGTTTAGGGTTGAACTTAAACCCCCAACCCCCCGATGCTTTCTCAACTGGGGTTGTATAAAAAAACCCGCGCCTCAGTGTTCAGTCTTGGCCTGTCCCTGCTTGGCGTTTCAATCATTTCTTGGAAAAACGATGGCGAGAAAAAGCTGGTTTAGGGTTTAGGGTTTAGAGCAATAATTAAGGCAAAACCCAGCCACGTGACAAGACTCCAAACGCAGCGTGTCCAGCACTAAATAAGTTGTACGACATTCCAGCACAATCCGGCCAGGAGCCCAACCGAGGCGTTTCCAGTACTGAAGTTGTACGAACATCAAGATTGGTGGTTTTGGAGCTGGTGAAACGATGACAAGAAATAAAAACGATAACCCAATTCCGGAACAGGGACGTTTATACCGGGTCATTTTACAACCCCAACTGAAGGCTGATCCTGGCGGACTTCTTCAAGCACGCCTTCGATGGCAGCGGTGCCGACAACTTCTTCGATGCAGGACGGCATAAGAGTGGGTTCTGGGGCTTAGGGTTTAAGGTTTAGGGTTTAGTAATGACAGCAACAGTTACACATCCTCTGGTGTTTATATAAGCCCTGTTCTAGACACCCTCTTGAGCCGAGACCCGGTCTACGGTTTGGAGGTTGCGTTTCAGACTTTCACTGTGGTGTAGGAGAAGTGTAGTAAACGGCGGCCAATAAGTTAGGTGCTAGAATCATCAGTGTTATTCCTTTGGGTGGTACCTGTTATGCGGAGCTGGTGAGAGCAACTTCCCCCATTGGCAACTGAGGTCGGAGGCTTTTTGCAGCTTCAGTGGTTGAGAGTTTAGGCTGCTGTGCTCCAGTAGGCTGTAGGATTAGTCTCTTGAGCCTGAAGCCCTAAGCCCTGATCTCTGAATCTCTAAACCCCAAACCCTAAACCGTAATCCCTAAAACCTAAAACCTAAAGCCTAAACCCTAAAGCCTAAACCCTGAAACCCTAAACCCTCAACTTAAGCCCTTGCTGTCGAGGCTCCTGCATTGATGGGCGCCTCACCTCCGCTTGGCTTGGGCCTCAGCTCGGGGGGGCGCCATCCGCGAATCGAAGCCGAAGGGTTTAGGGTTTGGGGTTTTGGGGTTTAGGGTGTAGGGCCTATAGGGTTTAGGGTTTGGGACCGAGGGTTTAGGGTTTAGGGCCTCGGGTTTAGGGTTTAGGACTATAGGGTTTTGGGTTTGGACCTAGGGTTTAGGGTTTAGGAGCCCTATATACAAAGGTAGCTGATGAAAGCCTCGAGCGATATGCGACGTAAGTCACATAGGCGGATCGGTCTCATGGCATAGAAGCGGGTCATCGGGGCTTTGGTGACCGATTTCCTAAAATCCCTCCACTCAGACCCAAGCCCATCGACTTGCACCAACAAGATCTCCCATCCTCGAAACTCTGAAGCCCTGGCTGTACTTTTCACCTCAGCACCCTTCCGTTTTAAGTCTCCAAACAACCGTGGAGCCCCCAGTTGGCCACCTGCAGCCTAAGCCACCGGAGAGTTGGGCCCTCCACTGTATCTTCCAGGTTAGGGTTTAGGGTTTAGGGTTTAGGGTTTAGGGTCTTCTGTGAGGGAGGACCTGCAGGGCGGTTGGATTGCTCCGTTGACTTTAAGCTGGCATGTGGTGACTCGTCGTCGTCGCCGTAAGGAAGGACGGGAGGAAGGACAGGGGACGGAACGAATCGATGGAAGGAGGCAGGAAGGAAGGAAGGAAGGAAGGAAGGAAGGCAGGAAGGAAAGAAGGAAGGAAGGAAGGGGGGAAGGAGGAGGAGGAGGTACGTAAGTGAGTAAGCAGGCAAGTATCGAAAGCTGGAACGGCAACCACGTACATGCGCGGTATGCCTGTGTAGGAGGTCGCTTTGTTACATGTCACCTATCTTGAGTTTCACTCATTTTGATGTGCCACTGCATTTGTCATTGATCGATCCGAAGTTGGGGCCTGCCGCACGCTTCAGGAACTGGTGCTCCTCCATCGAGTCCAAGTCGTGACCCGGCCCTGAACGCATGCTGCGAAAATTGTCGCTCCCAAAGAGTACATCATGCAACGACCAGCCGCATAGCGATAAAGATCGTGGCATCCAGCAGTACTATACACCCCGAGCCCTCCAGAACCCTGAATCGATTCTTAGGCTCATGCAAGGGGCACGTGCCGGTGTGTCTAGGCATGGCAAATGACAAGCCTCCATCTTTCCCAAGGCCCCACATCCTTAATATTTAGTCCACCGTCCCCAAAACCACTAAACCCTAAACCCTAAAACCACTAAACCCTAAAACCACTAAACTCTAAACCCTACGACCCCCGAGAGGCTCCAACTCTCAGCCTTGGAGGTACTTTCCAATCTTCCTCCTGACCGGCTTCTCAGGGCGCGGGACTACAGATCTGGAGTTTGAAGGTGAATATAGGCTTAGGGTTTAGGGTTTAGGGTTATAATATAGGGGGCTTAATAATTAGAATAGGGTTCGGGGTATATTATACTATAATTGTAGTAAGGAACCCCCAACACCCTATTCTAATCATTAAAGCCCCTACCTTAGCCTCAAAGTTTAGCCTAGCCAAAATTCACCAGCAACCCAAGCCGTGATTGTCTGACTTCAGGACTTCTTGAAGGTTGGAGCAGCAGCAGCAGCAGGAGTTAGTAGCAGTAGCAGCAGTAGTAGTAGGAGTAGTACTAGTACTAGTACTAGTACTAGTACTAGTACTAGTAGTAGCAGCAGCAGCAGCGGCAGAGGGAGGCGGAGGAGCAGTAGGAGGCAGTGACGGTAATTGCCTGCTAATGCTAGCAGGCTGGTAGAGTGAGGCGAGTTCGATTCTGCTTTTTCGGATGTCGGCGGGTTGCTTGAGACTGCGAGGGTCATCAGTGTTTAGGGTTGAGGTAGCATGGAATCTACCCAAGCTTACATTCCTACTACAGCTACAGCTGCTCGTGAGCCTTGAAGTGGTCCTTGGCCAAGGTTTGATGGAAAAGAGGGCTTCTGAGAAACCTCGCGCGACGTTCTACGGACCGGCGTTTGCGAGACATAGGGCAGCCAAGATCGATCCTTTGGTGAACACGAACGACGTAGCAGTAGCCATCATAGCAATATACTACTCATACTCAAAGTGCAGAAGTAATCGCAATCATTACTGACAGCCATGGCACTTCTCGATAGTAGCAGTCATGTTCGTATGGATTTATGAACACTGTCAGCCTCAAACGCTTGACCTTATAACACCAAAGCAACTCTTCAACACTCGATTCCGCAAACCCTAAACCCTTCACTAACAGATCTAACATCCAGTTGAGGGTTCCGGGATGTACAATACTTTAGGATCCCTTGTTCAGAAGAGGGTACTGTATGGGGTTTAGGGTCCCCTCATCAAAAGGGGTATCAGATCACTTTGCAAAGACAGGGATCAAGGTTCTATTTGTCAAGCTTTGTGGTTTAAAGTTCAGTCCTTTGAGAAGAGATTTGCGGATGTATGGGCTCCAAGAGAATAGGACTTTGGGTCTCGCACTATTTCAGCGTGCTTGCGCGTGAAAAGGCGGCCCTCTGGCAATACCAAAACCAGGAAAGCCTTAAGCCATAAACCCTAAGCCCGAAAATCTTAAACCCCAAACCCAAAAAAGCCTTCAATTCGGTCTCGGGGGCGACGAACAGCTCCCTGAAGCAAGCTAGTCCCAAGCGGGGCACTCCTGTGGCTTTGCGGAATCACCAATTCCTTAGTTCTTTGTGTGGATAACCTTTAACAGTCTTGCACACATTTATGGAGCCCACGGAACTCACTAAGTAAGATTCTGTGAGCACTTGCCAACCCGAAGAGAGTTTCGGACGAGCTTTGCTGGAACCCATGTTCCCTTCAATGTGCAAATTAATCTTTATGGCCAAGTCACATGAATTCAAGACTCGTGGGCTACCGATAATTGTTCTTGAACGAGTGCTCCGGAGCTCTGCATTCGGGCCTCAATTGCTTACCTCCAGATTCGCATGTCTAAACTCTCCAGAGCCCATAAATAATTACCTATACTATTGTGGGGGTTCCTTATTACAAGTTATAGTATAACATACGCCAAAACCGTGTTCTAATTACTAAGGCCCCTACATTAATCATTGCCAGGGCAGGAGCCCTTTGCCCCCAAGCCCAAATCCAAAAACATCCAAGCGGTTCCGCAGGGCCCCACTCCGCCCCCCAAAGAAAGACTTGCGAGCTGCTGCTGACAACTCAAAAAGAAGGGCGGTCGACGTTTTCGGGTTTGTGGACCGTGGTCCCCTGGGGACCAAGGACTGGAATTCAGCATCCTTCTATTCTGAAGGATACCCGTAGGCCCCATAGTAGTTCCTTTTTGTGGCTCATATTTAGGATCCTAGTAGGTAGTCCCAAAAAGGAACTGCTATGGGGCCTAGGGGTAAATATAGGGTTTCATGAACAATCTTTCTTCAGGGACGTTCTGCGGGATTCTGTCTTCGTTTCAGGTCCGGCAAGCTCGGCTCGGACAATGATTCGCCCAAAACCAAACCCTAAACCCAAAAGCTCTAAAACCTAAACCAAACTCTAAACCCTAAACCCATCTCTAAACCCTAAACCGGGTGGATGTTCGTTGATATAGCTGTCCCGTCTGATACCCTTCAGAAGCCCGCATCGGCCTCAAACTTCGTGACTTCCGGTGGCGAAGGTTTGGCACCGAACTTCTTCCAAGGCAAGCACTATTATTAATGAATAAATATTATCATGTTTGCTCCTCTTCCTCGTACTACTGTACTACTACTACTACTACTACTACTACTACTACTACTACTACTACTAGTACCACCATTATTATAGTTGTCATCATGATATTATCATGATACTATCATGATTAATAGAATTGGTGTTGTGTCTCTTATCTGTATTATTCTCATGGTTGTTATTGTTTCTGTTGTTCTTTTCTTCATTTTTATTGTCAGAACTCGTCATGCAGACAATTCTGTTGACCTGGTGGTCTGAGGCTCGGAGATATGACCGAAGGAAAGTCAGCATGCCACAGAGCGTCGGTAACGTCACTATCCATTCCGGGAGTGCAGCCGAAGATGCGAGTAAGCTCTAGGGTTAGAGGTTTTGTTGTGTTGTGTTTTGGGGTTTAGCATTGAGGGTTCGGTAAGTCATCAGCCCCACCACAGCATTGCAAACTCGACGGCCTTGAGTCTCTCATGCCGCTCTCCTTCTCGCGCCTCCGCACGGCGATCTTCTCTGTTCTGGGAGCTGCTTCCGTGGCGCTGACCATCTGGCTGCAGAGGCTCCAAAACCAGTAAAACAGAGGCTGCGGCTAGGAGTTTGGTGTCTTGTAACAGTAACTTAGTTGCTTAGTCTTCACAAACTGTTAATAAAGTAAAGGATCGTCGAACTTGCTTTTTTTCTGGACAGGGCAGCGCTCGCCTGCTGAAGAATGACCGGACTTTAGGCTTGTTCAAGGTTTAGTCAAGTTTAGTGAGTCTTTTGTTTCTGACCGCGGTTAGAGCCGCCATGCGCGAGACACCCCACCCTAAACTTAGCCCAAACATGGCTCCAGGCATCGAATCTGGTTGCTTTCGGGCTCCCGCAGCCAATCCAGCGCCACTCGCCCAAGACGGCGAGGGGTGCAGGGTAGAAAAGCGAACGGAGCATGTGGCTTCTACTTTGCTCACTGACTGTTTTGGTCATCATTTGCGGCTGTTGCTGTTTAAGACTTCTTTTCTTCGTAGCATCATGACCGTTGCAAATGCAATGGCAAGTTTTTTCGACTGCTAGTGTACTCGGGTCTGTTTTGATACAGTCGGCTGTCGTGACTAATGTAGGATCTAGTATACCTGCAACAGCAGGCTGAGTCTATTACTCTCGTAAGATGTTGCCGCACGAAAGCCTCCACACAAAACTGGGCTCTTGTTTCGGAGATTTTCGTTTGAATTACCAGCACGAAGACAGCATGACATGCAGTGGCTGTACATCCTTGCCCTGTACACTGTAGACCCGTGCACACCTATAAAACAGCTAACAAACCCTTAGCAAGGATCTGATCCCAACCCTTGTCCAAGCCCTTTATAGAACCCTTGTTCAATCCTGAATACACCACTTCAAAACCCTCAAAACACATTACAAGCCCTAAACTCTAAACCTATCCACCGTTTATAAACCCTAAATCCTAAACCCCATACTTGGAGGTGCATGGGTAGTTATAAGTGGAGTTATAAGTCCCCTAATATAGGTTATAACTATAGTTATCCTACTTATAACCCTACTTATAGCTACCCATGAACCTCCAAGTAAACCCTGAACCCTAACCCCTTAATAAAACCCTAAATCTTGAACCCTAAACCCTAACCCCTTAACCCTAAACCTTAAATCCTGAACCCGAAACCCTAAACCCTAAACCCTAAACCCCAAGACAAGGAAAGCGAGATGGAGTCGAGCAGGCGGAGCCCAAGGCGCAAGCTCTCCGAGGCGCGGCGTCTGGCGCTTCTTGCGGGCTTAGAGTAGGGCCTCGGGTTTCGGAGTTTAGGGGTTTAGGGTTTGAGGGTTTAGGGCTTAGTAGTTTAGGGTTTTGGGTTTCGGACTTTAGGGGTTGAGGGTTTCGGGTTTCGGAGTTTTGGGTGTTGAAATTCGAGTTGCACTAGGGGTTTAGGGGTTAGGGTGAAGGGTTAGTTGCGGTTCATTGGTTGGGGCTTGGGGCCTGGGGCTTTTAGGGAAATGCGGGATTCAGGCTTCAGCAACTGTGGTTCCTGATGCGTAGAGTCATCTCAGGACGGCAGCGTAGGGAACGACGACTTGTCACGGCTTCCTCGCGATCGATCAGTCCCCAGGAACCAGTCACTTGCGAGCTGAATACTATGAGTACCCTCAACCTAAGCCCATAAATCACAAATCAAGCGCAATTAAACCCTGCAATTTCAAGAACCCCCATACCCCGGCCGCACCCTGACACCAGCCCTCACAGCAAGAGAAAGAATCCCTAATACAGAAGCCTGGAGAACTAGTTATCCTATCCCTCAAGGCTCCTGGTGCTTAAAGTAGAATATATCCCAATTTCTTATATGTTCATTATTAAGGCCCCCTCAAGCAAGAATCCCACCCTGTTTCCCTGTTTGCTGCCAGGGCACTTGCAGTTCAGCTCGTGGCTTCTCTCTGCAGGAACTGTCGCATGACGTGCCCGGGATGCAGTCGATATTGACTGGTAGTCGGTTGTTTTCAGGGCGTGGACCTTTAAGGTTTAGGGGGGTTCAGGGTTGTAGGGTGTTCGTAGCGGAAGTATCGGGTTTAGGCATTTCGTGTTGGGTTGGTAATGCGTCCGCTGGTTTGAATTCTGAGCTTTTCGTTGACACCCCGCTGGCCCGCTGGCAGTCAGAGCCACAAAGGGCTTAGGCTATGTCAAGGGATGACAAGTTAACAGCAATGATTTGATAGTTGTGAGGGTACATGACAGGGTACGGGCATCCCCTTTGCAGAGCACGGACAACAGCTCTGCACGCCGGGCGCCCCTTCCTGCAAGTCCCACCAGGGCTCCACATATGATTATATCTGGGATCGAGCAGGTGTCCGTTCGGCAATGGCAGCAGGCTGCCAGGCAATCCCAAGAATGAACAAACCCTAAACCCGGAAACCGCAGTGTTCCCCAAACCCCAAAACGCCGTGAACTAAGTAAGTAGAACCCGCGTCTGTACTTGCAGAGCGCTTCTCAAGGCCGTGTTGAAAGAACCCTGATGAGAATTTGATAAGAATGCTAAAACCCCCCGAGAGCTACTATTGCTTCAAGGGTGCCTTGTAATAACTGCAGCCCTGATAAGAACCCTAAAACCCTACAACCCCCTAAGCGAAGCTTTCAGGTCCTCCTGAGCAGCCTCAGCCTCCTCAGTGCCTGCGATCTCGCACAGGCCCAGTCGGGCTGGGGGAGGGGCACTTGATCTACCTGAAGAGGAGTTTCTGCAGGAGTGTTTTTTGACCTTCTCCGTCAATGTGCCCCAAGTAGAGCTCCCCATAATAGCATCCAGGGTGTATCACACTTGCATTCTTGTGACACGGTTCGGCAGAGTTCAGGAGCGTTAGCCACTAACAGCCTCTTTCGCTGTGAGTATGTGTCATGCAGGGCGGACAGCCGTATCTTTAGCGCTCTTTCCGGCATGAGTCAATGAGGTCGCGAATTGCTCACGGCTTTTCCTGCTGCCTCTGGGCTTCATGTTCATGTTGTGGCAAGTCATGCAGTAAATCCGGATAAGCGGCTACACGTCAGTACCCTCCCATGAAACTCTTATTCGTATCCCCAAAACCCCGCAGTTCTAACAGCCTGAACCTTGACATTCACACCACCCTAACCCCAAGTCCTGTATAGAGCCCCAAACCTGAATCCTCCAAACACCAGGCCCCGGAGCACTACCTTGAGCCCTCAAGCCTAACCCCAGGAAATCCGCAACCTGAGGGCCCGAACCTGCGGAGTACCAGACCCCAAAGCAACATGAGAGCTTGACACAGTCAGGGACGCCGTCAAGAATACATCGTAGGATCATGTAGGATCCGTCTTGTAAGAGCCGCTAATTACCCCTAATTTTTAAGAAATCCCCGGAGTGTCCGTGTAAAGATCCACGAAGAGCCTCCACATGTCAGCCCTTTGACTAAGGCTTTCCCTTGATGCCTCAAAGCGGCCTTCCCTGGTTGCTGCCATGGGCTCCCCAGAGGAGGCGGATACGAAATAATACACTATGCATGTAAGGGTGGATGGATGGATGGATGGATGGATGGATGGATGGATGGATGGATGGATGGATACATTCATTGTCTGCCTGCCTGTCTGTCTGTATGTATGTACCATATGTATGTACTCGTATGTATGTATGTATGTATGTATGTATGTATGTATGTATGTATATATCGCTGTGAACTTGTTGAACTTGTCGAAACGTCTAGGTTGCCAACGTGACAGTTTTGACGATAGGGTAGTGAGCAATGCTGAACTTTCTCAGGCGCGTTTTGACATGCTTGTCAGTTGAGAGTGCGAAATCCGCCACCGAAACTGTTAAACCCTAAATCCTGAACCAAAATCCATCGAATCTCAGCCCGAAGGTCACAACTCGGTGTAGGGTTGTGGTTTGCTTTTACCACCCTTGCGTGGACGCGCTAGAAGAGAGACCTGAATAATCAGCAGTGAAATCTGCTGCGGTTCCACAACCTATTCGTAGTACGTAGTATAGGTAAAAGCCTTTAAAGTTTCTCTACTGAGTCAGGCGTTGATACTACTCGACTCCTGGCCCCGTGGCCAGATTTCCAGCCAGTCCCGACCACCATCACCCGTGACGTATCAGGTATTCTAGGAACCAGAACAATTAGAGTAAGGTTTCTATTGTAGCAAAGGGACTATACAGGGGGTATTATTGATATTCATCTAGTACCCGATAGTAGGACACCTTGCAAACTACAAAGAGGAAGGCTCGAACGAGCATGATTGTTGTGGGAGCGTCAGCATTTGAAAATGGCATGAAGAAAAGTCGCGGTCATCGTCATCGCAATGTATATAATAAACATATGGTTCAATCTGACGGCTTAGGCACTTTAGTGATAGCCATGAGCCTTAGCTGCCCTAGCTCTATCCGGGACACGTGAGACAAGGCCCGGGGCTCCCATCCAAGTGATCATCCCTCTTATTAGGTTTAGGGTTTAGGGTTTAGGGTTTAGGGTTTGGCGCACTTGCAGAACAGAAGGGACCCTCCCTAAACCCTACCTTAAGAACCCCAAAACCCACTTTTTTGTAGGGTCCCTGCAAAGCCCATATTAGGGTTTATAATAAGAACCTACAAAAAAGGGGGTTTTGGGTTCTTAAGGTAAACCCTAAACCGCTACAACCACGAGCGGGTCCTTCGCATCTTCCTGCAGGACAAGCCTCCGAAGAAACAACAGCTCCTAGGAGCCAAGTATTGAACCCTTACTGAACTACCTTGAGAACCCAAAACCCACTTTTTTGTAGGGTCCCTATAAATCCCATATCAGGGTTTATAAGAAGAACCTACAAAAAAGGGGGTTTTGGGTTCTTAAGGTATTCAGGAGCCCCCGAAAGCCAGAACTAGGTCTTCCCCACCGACCCTCTAAGTCGAAGCCCCTATACATCCTCGATCCTTCTAAATCCCCCAAAAAGCTTCTACCACAGTAATCTGAAGAAGCTTTAAACTCCAGAACCACTTGGAGGTTCATGGGTAGTTATAAGTGGAGTTATAAGTCCCCGAATATAATGTTATCCCTATAGTTACCCTACTTATAACCCTACTTATAACTACCCATGAACCTCCAAGCAACCCTGATGAGGTGTCGCGGAAGCTGCGCCAGAGCCTTGCGGCCAGGCCCTCGTTGGGCTTCATCTTCGGCCCCTCCGTGCCCAGGGGCTCTAAAGCCGAAGCGAGAGAAAGAGCCACTCGGATTCTTTGCGCAGGGTTTAGGGTTTAGGGGTTTAGGATTTAGGGTTTAGGGTTTAGGGGTTTCGGATTTAGGGGTTAGAGGGTTTACCGGGCAGGTGGCGTTTAGGTTTTCCACAGTTCAGGGTTCTGGACTTATGTGCGGGTTCGGGCTTCATCTGGTTCGGTGTTTGGGCGTAGGATTTGATTTGGGGTCCCCTCACAAAAGCTTGCGAGGATACCATGGTGGGGATGTGGATGGATCTACAAAGGGTCAAAGGGATCCCTCAGGCAGGCAAAGTGCAGCGAGGACTTCAACACGGAATTTAGCTTCACCTTCAGAGCCTGGTGTTCAGACTTCAGAAACTATCTGACTCCATATTCCCTAACCCCCCAGGTACCTACTATATAGGGCCCTAGGGGCTCCAGTACCCTATATAGTAGGTACCTGGGGGGTTATGGATTCATAAGTTTTTAAAAGCAGGAACCCCCATCAGGAGGACCCTGAAACTTTGACCCCAAGGCGATGCCAACATCCGGTTACTTTCTGCACCCATCTTTTTGTCCTGGGGTTCCTTGCTTCAATCATACACCAAAACCTTATTCCAATTATTAAGGTCCCTATAGTATACAGTATATGTATACTGTAGTATTCGCAGACTCCGCGGAATACTCCCCCCGGCGCAGCTAGGTGAAGAAGCTGCTGGATGGCTCCTCTGATAGCAAAAAGCTCCAATTTATAGTAGGAGTCTAAGTCTAAGTATAGAGCCGCAAAGTTGCGAAGGCTGGTTCCCCTTGTCCCAGTAGCACAGGCTACACGTTTTATTGGTTTTCAGTGTAGTTGCAGGTTTCATCTATAGCTCCGCAGCATCTATGCCAATCTGCCATCACCGCAGTATTGAGTTTAAGTGAGTTTCGCCTCCGCTCTTTTATCCCTTGCGCATGGCTGCTTGTCGGGACTTTTTTGGATTCTTGGAGACTTCTTGCTTCCGAAATCCGACCAGGCTCCTGTCGTGGAAAGTCCCGTCGACCCTTCTGCGCCACATAAGCCCCGACGCTCAAACTCAAATCACTCTAATCCTAACCCCCTGAAGCGACAAGAAAAGCCCAGGGCTTTCGCTTCAGGCCTTCCGCCAGAGTGCCAAATTGTCGGTGCTGCCACGAGCCACGGGCCTCAATTGCAATTGCGTACAACACTAAGCAATCGAACATCAGACGGAATAGCTGACAGGTGACGCTCAGGCCCTCGTGGCGCCATCGGGCAACACCCAAGAGACAGTGATGAGGCCTGCACACCTCGGACTTCGCATTTGCGGTGCTGAGAAGCTGAGGTCCAAGGTCTCGTAGCACACGCACACGAGGTTGGGAGCTTTACCTGTTGGAAGGACTGCAAGTATGTAGATATAGATAACGATATAGATATAGATGTAGAGACAGAGATATATACAAATAGGTACAAAGGTAGTATATTTGTATGAATTATGGAACTGTTGACGTATTGCATCAAAGATCCTACTGCTTAGGATCTGTGTTGCATGGGGGGTCTCTCATTTGGTCAAACTCTTACGTGGTGTGCAACACCCTTCTCCTGCGCTTGACCTTCTTCTGTTCTCATGGTCTATGTAAGACTTGGAAATGTACGATGCATATATCTGTATGCACACCACTCTATGTATACAAAAATATATTGATATATGGATCTCTCTATCTAGCTATCTACCTATCTGTCCATCTATCTATCTTCTATCTATCGATCTATCTCTCTCTTGCAATACACATGGCAAGTGCGTGCGCATGTAGAAACATGTGTGTGTGTATGTATACTAACAAGACACATACGCATATCTCTGTCTAAAATGGTATATAGTAGAAGCCCAAAAGTTGGAAACCAAATAGCCTCAATCTTTAAGAGTAATGTAGATGGAATCCCAGCACCATTTGTTACTATATGCTGGCCCTTGCCTGTCAGGGACCAAGAGAGCAGCCCTGAGCTTGAGATCTCGCTGATGCTCGGCGCATTCCCTGCCGCAGTGGCGCAGCTTGCCAGTGATATGTCCTGTTACATTAAAGGGGGTTCAGGGTTTAGGGATTTACGGTTGCATTTTTGAGTTGGGCTTCAGATCGCTGCGATATGTGGCTGCTTAGTCCTCCCACTTCTGCGTCACCTTCCCACGACACGACTCGACACAGCCCATGCATCCGGGTAGAAGATATGGTTCGGGTAGACTTTTGGGAGTGCGACTTCGGCATTAAGATTAAGCGTTTCTCAGTCTGAGAGCTACTGAGTCATTTGTGTGGCCCTGAGGCACTCCTTCTATGTGTCACCGGACGTCTGCCAGGCGGGGGAGCTTTGCTGGAGCTTCAACGTAGTTAGTGCTGTCGTGATATATGAAAGTACTTGGAGGTTCATGGGTAGTTGTAAGTAGGGTTATAAGTAGGGTAACTATAGTTATAACCTATATTAGGGTACTTATAGCTCCACTTATAACTACCCATGAACCTCCAAGTAGACTGAAACCGGATCCCTGCACCTAGACCTCGCGAGTCAAACACAAGCTATCGGACACTTTGGAACATGGGGCCGTGTCACGAAAGAGCAGACAAGGAAAAGAGAGAGTTCGTCTGGGATTTCGGGGCTGTCGCTATGTCTTCAAGATGTCTTTAGATGCCACTCAACAATATCTCGGCAACTCAAGTTGACAAAGCCTGACTCTGTAGCGTCGGTCGTACACTCTGGCTAGCCTTGCCAAACTACATGCAATGCGGCCCACTTCAATCGCAGCAGCAACCCCCAGACGTCGAAGCCCTTGCGGCCCCCGAGCCCTTATTATTCCTAGCATTGATATTAATCATTGGAAGGACACCAGCCAGTTGGATGGACCCGAGCTAGCCAAAATACTGGCCGACTGCGGTGTGCCGGAAGGCCCGGACCTGGGTTGCGCTTCGTGAGCTTGGAAGTCCGTGGGTAGTTATAAGTGGAGATATAAGTCCAGCAATATAGGTTATAACTATAGTTATCCTTCTTATAACCCGCCTTATAACTACCCATGAACCTCCAAGACGAGTCGCATCTACGTTCAGAGCGTGAGAAGACGTTTCAGGTGCTCCGAGTATGTGGGAGCAGTTTGCATGTGACTGTATGCCTTTTCTGATCATCGGGATTCTGAGCTGATCCGGATCATCCTGTCCCAGCAAATCTCAGCCCATTCCGGTGAAGTCTGAACCCGAATATTTGAATCGAAAGTCCGAGCATCGAACCTATGGTGCTAATTAACTGCACAGGCCACTACCTGTAGTCCGAACCCGTCACATTGTGAACAAGGATGTGCCTGTAAGGGCGGGTGCGAGAGCGCTGCAATAGTGAAACGACGCCCTTATGCGCATTTGCGCGGGGCTACTTTTAAAGAGAGCGTACTGGTCAAGGGTTGCTACGTCGATGCGCATGTTCTCGGCACAATATGAGTCTCGAGCCAGCCAAGCAGCCTCAAAGCCCTTCCTCTCGTATGAAAAACTTGGCTTCGCGCGCATCTGTGCAGCATAGCACTTCCTGTGCCTGGCCTACCTACATCCCTCAGCAGGACCCGAGTGGGGTACCGTGGTTCTCATCGTAGGTGGCCGCCATCAGCCACCCAGCTGCATGGATGCTGTCGTCCGTGTCGTTGCAGTTCCCGAATGCATTGCAAGCTCACTGCGGTGATGTCGCTGTCATATGCCGTGCCTGGCGTTCTTATGCTACTCTGATGACCTGCAGATGCGACCCAGGATACCCCAGGCCCGTGAGATGGGTCGACCTTGCTATAGGGTCCTTAATCATTAGAAAAGGGTTTTGGGGCCCATTATACTATAATTATAATAAGGAGCCCTAAACCTTACCCCCAAAATACGATTGGTAATTAGCCACGTATATATCATCCATTGCAGTTCCCAGTTTGAGATAGATTAAACAATCCTACATATAAAACTGGCTCAACAAATCGAGAGTATAGGCGAAGCAAGTTCACAGCCACTGGAGCTCTCGCGGAGGCACCGCGGCTTTGACCCAGAGCGCTTCGTGGCGATTCTTCAGCAGCGGTGCCCAAAGGCTGGCATAATCGGAGGCCCGGGAGTTTTTCGGTTTCAGAATTTCAGGGTTTGGGATTTGGGGTTAGGAAGGTGAAGGGAGACGAACATGAGGTATGGCTTGCGACCACTGCTGGGAGAGTGTGAATACTCCGCGGCTTGTTAGGAGTGTTTTCGAATTACCCGTGACCAGAACGAACCTGTTGGTCTACGATCGCAATTGACGAAAGCCTGTATTGCGGAACCTTCCAATGTCAGGAATATTCCCGTATGAACCCCAACCCCTAAACCCCAATCCTAACACCCTAACCCCCAATCCACGACTTTCTTGGGTTTTGGGAGGCTTTTGGATTTTTCAGACCTCCCATGTCAAGCACCAGGCATCGTCACCGATCCGCTGCTCCTCCGTCGCGGAGGGCGGCTTCAGGACGGCCGGGAGGGCGTAGCGTGCGGAGTTTAAGGCCCTGCCCCCTTCCCTTTCAAAAAGACATGGGGGTTTCCGGAAACTCCCATATCCATATCAAGGGCTCGCATGAGAACAATCAGGCTCCTATCTCACCCTAACCCCACACCCTAAGCTATGCACCTCTAGCCCTAAACTCGCTACAATTATGCTTCTGTATAGTACACTTCTGCAAGATTGGTCCGGGCAAGTTGAAGAAACGCCTAGGAGCACCGAAGTGGTGCACTTGGCCTTGCCTTGCGAGGTGCGCAACTAGGTTCAGGGCTTGACAAGATTTGTGGCATGATTTAATCTTGCAGTATATGATGCTACATGCCATTATGTTGTCTTAGAATCGGACTATACTAGATCTGACATGCCCTGATTTTAAGTACAGGGTCCAGGGTATAATTTATGGAAGGTTCAGGTTTCATGAGGGGGCTTTGGGGTTTTGGGCTTAGGAATCTGGCTTGTTGCTCTTGACAAGGGTGCAGGGTTTACAATTTCCGAGTTGAAGAAGTCAGGGCTTGCAGGTGCGTCTGCAGCTCCCAAACGTCTGTTCACATCCCAGGGGGTGTACGATTGGTGCAGTTTTCTGTGTGTTCAGTGAAGTTACATGGGGATCCGAACGCTAAATTCACCTTCGCCCTTGCTTGCTCTTGGAGGGACGTGCCTGCCATGACCCAAACTACAAGGGTTTTCTCAGAGAGCTACCCGTGTGCCGTGTGCTCCGGGCCATGCTGAACTCGTTAACCGCAAAAACGCACAAGAGTTGGCCAGTGCCAATGTGAGCTGCTGCTACGCTACCATCAGCATGTCCCCAGAGATCAGTCACATGAATATAGGTTTCTGGGGATGTAGGATTGAGGCTTCAGCGGTTGGGGGGTAATGATTCAGGGCATAGGCTTGGTGGAGCATTTAATATAGGGGCCTTATAATAATTACCTATACTATTTTTTTTTTGGGGGGGAGGGGTCCTTATTATACTTATATCATAATATACCCCAAAACCCTATTCTATGATTATTAACTCCCCCTACATTTCGGGAAACCCGGGTGCGCTGTCTTGGTCCTGCTTGGAGGTTCATGGGTAGTTAGAAGTGGAGTTATAAGTCCCCTAATATAGGTTATAACTATAGTTATCCTACTTATAACCCTACTTATAGCTACCCATGAACCTCCAAGTAGACCCTAAACCCTAAACCCCTTAAGGAACCCTTAAAAGGAACCCTTATAAGGGTTACTTATAACTACCCATGAACCTCCAAGTGGCAGGTGATGTGCCCCTGACGGCCATGGTCTCCCGTGGCTGCAGGTCCATCTTCCAGGGCTTCCACACGAGCTCGGAGGCTCCTGCAAGGTTTCTAGGGCACCTATAGAGCCCTATAGGACCCTTAAAGGGGACCTTATTATAGAACCCTTTAGTACCCTTAAAGGGGACCCTACTATAGAACCATACAGTAAGGGGACCCTATTATAGAGCCCTATGGACCCTTAAAGGGGACCCTATTATAGAACCCTATATAGTACCCTTAAAGGGGGCCCAAGAATAGCTATATCGTACTTTCCCAGTAGCCTCCCCCATTTGCTTGCAGCACAAAATCCCCAGCATGCGAGTCAAAGTATCATCTAGGCCCCGATAGTTACGGTTCAGGTGTTTCCTTGATGTCGGATCCCAATGCAGCAGCCAGACAAAGGGGGCAACGACAAGGCTGAGCATGCTGAGCTTCCCCGAGGATCTTTGCGACGATTACAGATAGTAATAGTATAGGTGTTGCCTAGTGTACCCCTTTTGCGCACTTTTGCATTGGCTCCTGTAGACCATTCCAACAGAGCTGTGTTCTGCAGCTCTGCAGCCGATTGGACAGAATGCGCCTCATGCAAAATCCAAAGTGACTGCATCTCCGATGTCAGAGCACAGCAACCTACGTTCAACACAACTCATTGCATCAGCCTTTCCGGCCCCCCGTAAGGACTGTAAAACCTTGGGTACTTTTTAGGGTCTACAGAAGACAAGTCTCAAGCCCTAAACCCTAACCCTCCTGTCGCCTACCCTCTTAGAAGCACGAAATCCCAATGTAAAGTGTCAATAGCACTTTTGGCCCCAAGCCTTGTGCCCCGCAGATTCTAGAGCTCCATGCCAATACCCCAAACCCCTAGACCTCCCTGTCTTTCCTCGTCACCAGGCGGTGATGGAGCCTGGTGACTGCGAGGATGCGTGGGAGGGCTATATAGTATATATATATATATATATATATGTGCCCGACACCTTTAGGGTCTATATAACCACG